TTCTACAAAAACAATAAACATACCAAGTTAGATATACCAAAAACTACACTGTGAAGATATACCAAAAACAATAAACATAAATAGTAGTTTATTCTTGAAACTATAATTTGCAACACTGTTTTGTCTTTTGGTTGAAATGAAAATCGCAACGAGAGAATGAAAATCGCAACGCGGAAATGACTATCGCAACGCGAAATGAAAATCGTAAAGAGAGAATCGCAACGCGAAATGAAAATCGCAATGCGATTTTGGTTTCGCGTTGCGATTATATCGTTGCGATTTTCATTTCGCGTTGCGATTCTCTCGTTGCGATTTTCATTTCGCGTTGCGATTTTAAGTTTAAAAACTATTCTTCTTCTGCATTACTTCAACCAAAAGACAAAACAAAGACAAATACTAACTTCACAGAGTTAAAGACTAAACAGTTTAGCAGTATTGGCAGCAATCGAATGAATTTAATAAGAAATCTAAGTGAAATGGTTAATCTATTATTGAAATTACCAGTAAACTTATCATCAATTTCAATATAAAAAACCTAAAATAATGCAAAATTTTTAAAATAAAAATAATTAAAAAAACTAACCCTCGGAGGTTGATTTTCTATTTCTGAATGATTGTGAGGGATTTATGACCGTAAATGGTTGTGAGGGATTTCTCCGGAGATGGGGACGGAAATCTTCGGAGATGGGGACGGATTTCGCCGTAGAGAGTGAGAGATGAAGATGGGACTGAGTTGTGATTTTAGGTTTTAGGTTATGAGTTGCGATTACGGGATATACTGTGGACGGTTCAGTTTCCGATATATTAATATATTCGTGTTTGGAATTTTTTTAAAAAAAATACGTGTTAATACGAATGGCGCTATGTAAATCGCATTGCGATAGTCAGATTCGCATTGCGATTTACGTATTCGCATTGCGATTTTCTTAATTCGCATTGCGATTTACGTAATTGCGTTGCAATTTTCTTACGTATTCGCTTTGCGAATTAGGAAAATCGCAACGCGAATTAGGAAAATCACAACGCGAATTTGGAAAATCGCAATGCGATAGTCAGAATCGCGTTGCGAATCTGGAAACTGATTTGCGATACCGGAGATCGCGTTGCGAATTATCGATCGCATTTCGATTTATTTGGTCATTTTGGCAAATCCAAAAAAAGTTGATTAAAATCGTATATTATAAGACATTTTTTGTCACTGAGATTATTTTCTCTTAAAAGAATGTGTGAAAATAAAAAATATGATCAGTCTTATTTTGTAGTATTACTTTATTGCAGGGACTTTCAAAATTCAATCAGGCGTTTGTGCTCCAAACGTTGTACTTAAACCCACCCATAGGCCTCAAAAGTCCACAATTAACTTTAACCCAACAATTTAGTGCAGGGCCTTGTTTTACTCAAGATCCAGTACGAGGCCCCTAAACATTTAATTTCATTGTTTCGAATTCTATACTTGGATTTTTAATTTGTTTTACTACACTCTCAAAAGTATGTATATTTTATTTCTGGAGTCTAAACTCTCAGGCTAAACCTCTTGTCTGAGGAGCCAGGATGAAAATATAATTTTCTGAGGGCTTATGTAAAAAATTTATATAAAAAATTTGTAAAATGACTAACTAATTGCTAGAAGGGATCAAAACACAATCTTATAAACCATACCATTCTTCTGGATTTTTTAACAAAACATGATTTTTCACTATGAGTGACCTGTAAATCTGACCAATAAATTTAAGTAAAACCTAATTAGTTATTATTTATATTTATAAAACATATTTGTTTACGCATATATTACTTAAGCTACTGGTCATAAATAATAAAAAAAGCTTTCTCACTTCGCAATAGTGGGGTTTTATCAATTAAACTTTTTTTTTTATTTCAGCCATCATTACAAATTTGGACAAATTTAGTGCATAATTCGTTCAGCTTACGGACATGGAAGAGTAGGCCCAGAGGTGTCTCATTGTCATGAAAGAACAACTAAAGATTCAAAAGGTAGGAAATTGTCGGCCGAGAATTCCCTTTTCTTTTCTTCCCTACTACAGAAATTGGATTTTGTGGCGGGAAAGTCTCACATCCGATAATTTAATATAATATTTTTTATTATCGAAAATATTATTATTTCAATCGTTTTTATTATTATTAGATGTTTTACCGATTTTGTTAATATATCTGGTAAAATATTATCGATTTTATTATTTTTTCTATTGATTTTGTTATTATTAGGTACTTTACCGATTTTGTTAAAAAATATTAATATTTTAAGTAAAAATATAATATTTCAGATAAAATTTTACTAATTTTATTAAAAAATAATAATAAAATTGATATCATTTTTTTTTAATCGTATATTAAAATTGTCTTACGGTAAAATCTCCTGATTATATACTCATTTTTAGTTTTGAAATTTGGTGGCATTTATTATATTTTACTGAATAGACATCTGATTTTCAGTCAAGTAGTATTGGTCCAATGTCCAATCAATACATTGGACCGGAGGATGGGAAGACAAGCTGACGAAGTGTAGTAATTCATTTATGAATGTATGAGCGAAATCAGGAGATGGGAACTGGAGACTGAAGTTGCAATGTTATGAAAAGCTTTGGACTATCCTATGAATGTTTAGCCCATCAGTGTCTTCCATATCATTTCCTTGCCTTCCAAATTACTTACTCCATAGTTCCAAATGCATCTATTAATTTTGATTCATTTTTTTTAAAATTGTAAATTTAAAAATAATATATATCCAAACATATTTAAATTAACATCATCATCTATGAACCAAATGATCTAAGTACTTAAAGGAATGGTTATTATATCTAGAGATCCCAGATTAGAACATGATATCTATAAGGATATTTGAGCATTCATTATCAAATGATTAAAAATCATTTGAACAAATATTATCATATAATCACTCAAAACTAATAAATAAAAAATTAACATTATCATAAATATTACAAAATAATCATATCAATTAAAATAAACTTCGATCTAACTATTTATTATACAATAAACGTTCCAATATTTCAAATATAAAAAATAATCTAAAATGAAAATATTGCTTTTTATATATTAAGAGTAAATACAAAACGTTCAAAGACTCTCAACCAATTAACTATGAATACTCATACCCCTGTTAGTGCTCGAACATGTAACATCTAGAAAGAATAACGAGTTCCTTAACCACTTATATCATTTGGTTTCATAAAAAAATGCAATAATAAACATAATACAAGTTGACATGATATATTTAATATATGCATATGGTATTATTAATAAGAATTCTAACACATTTAATAGTTTATATTTTATTTATCGAATAAGTATATGAAATATGACAATAATAATTTTTATTGTTAAATTTTTTAATTTTTTATATAATCATTACATTTATTAAACTATTATAATATAATCACTACAATCTTATAATAAATTATCATAAAATAATTATTATAATATTATAATAAATTTTAAAAGTTCGAAAATACCTAATCACCATTTTATTATTAATTTATATCCATAAACAATCACTTTTTTCATTAATGAATTGACTAAGGACACCAATTGGGTGTTGAACAAGGTTCATCGCTGAAGTTACCAACCTTCAAATTAACATCATCAATCAGCACCTAGTTAACTGCCCTCAATAAAAAGCAACCTGAAGGTTACACGTCTATAGGCAAACCAAACGAGAATCTACAACAAACCAATGAAGTAACAATACCACAAGTTTTGCATTCAATGACGAGCTCTTTTCTATAATTACTATTTCTTTAGCATAATCTGAACAAGCACTTCACAGTTATGATGTTGGATACGCAAGCAAAAGAGCAAACAATTGAAGCATGCACATGCTCATATACTCGTTATATACTGATGATTGAGTATCATTAATGAAGTTTCCATGGATAATGAATCTTTCATATTGTATTTACTCTCTCTTTTTTTAATGAAGCGTTTGCTCTTTTGATATCTTTTAAAGCTTCCTTTATAGACAAGAAAAAGTGAAGGAGATCTTTCCAAGCTAGAAAACTAAAAATCATTATAAAAAAATCATTATAAACCGACCCTTGCGTATGATATTTAAGCTTTAACTACAGTTGTTGCCTATTGGCGAGATTATTTATTAATAATTTATTAGGTAGGATTTAATATACTATTTTTTAAGAAAAAAAGGGGTTGATTGTACTGTTTTGCCACTTAATGGCATTCATTGTGCAGTGACCTAAACGTGGGGTGACAAAGAGGGGGTGGCAAACTGGGACAACAAATAAACCAGAGTAAAGTACAGAGTTAACTGCAACACAACTGCAAAAGGGAAGATCAAGAAACATGAAAGTAAGTCCTACCTTCCCTTGTTTCCCTTTCCCTCTCTCATTTTCATGTTTTTTCAATAAGAAGAAAGGTTATGTGTTTTTGACGTGTAGTGGAGTGTGGTGGAAAATGGGAAATAGCATAAAGGACCCACAATTCAACAAACCCATATGTATGCCCTTTTGCTTCCTTTCATCTTCTTCATAAAAAACCAATCTTTTTTGTTGTTGTTTTTACTGTATAACATCATATACTGATACAACAATTCATCACAATTCTCAATTTCCCAACCCGGCTTTTTTTTCCCTGCTTAGGATTCAAGGTCCCTTTTTCATTCAATCTCCCTGCTTTTCTCTTTTTATCTGCCTTGTCTTGCACTAAGAATAAGTTATTTGACACTGTAAGAAAAAAGGGTTAGTATTTATTTTCTTTTTGGGATGATGGCAATTAAGGGTCTTATTTGGAATATCCTTTTGTCTCCTATAATTTGATGACTTTGCATTCATGTGAATTTCGTGCTGTTTCTGATCTGGAATTTATCAGATTCTGCTGTTTCTGCATATTCTTCACTCTTTCTCCGGTTACTCTTTCATTCTTTTTTAACTTTTCTTTGTTCATTCCATCATCGCCAACTGTTTGATATCATTTTGATTTTCCTCGTTTAATATCGGTTCCTGTAGTTTTGAATGCTTTCATATTGATATGAAAAATGAGGTGAGGCAATTTAAGGCGCCACCGAGAGCCACATGTGTGTGAAATTATGGGAAATTGGATTCTGATCCATGGGGGAAATTTAGTTTATGGGATTGGATTTGGGAAATCCATGTTGTACTCCAGTCAATTTCTTCAATGGTTTTGAGTTTTATGATTAGGGTCAAAACTGGTACTGTCATTGACTGGTTTCTCTCTTATCTATTTATATGTTAAAAATAGTTTTCTGAGTATTCAATTCAATAGCCTTGACAGTCGGTTGGGATGATGCCTCCCCCAAAGTGGGAATTCCTCTAAATATCCCACAAGAATAATATCCATCATTATATAAACAGTGACTGTTTTCTAATTATGTTTTTTTAAAGAAATTCCCAAATGATTAGTTATAATTGCAATTCAATTTTTGGTTTTGAAATTGTTTCTGCCTTCCTAATTGGATTATTCGGTGTTACAGGCAAAAGACTGCCGCCGGCTGGTTAGCAAATAGCATTTCAAGAAATGGGTTGGCTGACCAAGATTCTTAAAGGTTCAAGTAATAAAGGGCGATATCATGGGAGATACGACACTGATAGAACTTGGGATGAGCCTCGCCGTTCAGCGGTACTGCTATGCTCTTTATAAGTATTCACTGGTTGCTTGTGTTCGGATATCATTGATTCTTATAATGTTAATTAGATTTAATTGTAACACATTTATCTATACATGTAATGTTATGATTCATAGACTTCAGTCTGCATGATCCTGTTTCATTCAATACTATGAGGATTCTTTCTAGTGTTAATTATGTGAATCTTTGTTGGAAAACTATGATGCAGGAAGGTTCAGATGGTTTTGATAAAGATGAAATTGAGTGTGCTATTGCCATCTCCCTTTCTGAAGTAGATCAAAAAGGCAAGAAAGTAATAGGTATGGTTGCACTTCCCCTTTCTGGAGTAGATGATTTTGACAAAGATGAAATTTATTCATTTTTCTTCTCTCATGTTTCCCGTTTGCTTGGTAGAAGATGAGTCTGATCCAGAGGAGGAATCAGACGATGATGTATCAATCGATGAAGGTCATCTAGAGGATGAGAATGACAAACATTCTGCAGCTCATGAGGAGAAGGAAGAGGAAAGCTATGCTAAACCTCATGTGGAGGAAGAGGATGACCGATATGCCAAAGTTCAACCGGAGGAAGATGAAGGTCATGATAAAGTTCAATTGGAAGAAGACGAACAACTTGCTAAGGCAATTCAAGAAAGTTTGAATGTGGAGTCTCCGCCTCGTTATGGTCATGGGGGTTTATTTTCACCTTATCCATTCTTCTTTTCAGCTAGTTACAGGTAAGTTACTTGTAATTAACTTTTTTTGCATTAAATACTAATTGATTTTAAAATTGACTGATGTAGAAGAAGGAAGCTAATCTATAGTAAATGCATTGTTGAGAATGTCGTAAAAACTGCTAAGAGCTTACTCGTTGACATCAATATTAGACCTAGTAACACACACAGTTGATTCCGACTTTCCACTTGTTAGAGAACTTAATGCGGAATTTGATTTTCTGTTGGAATAAAATGGGTAACGTATGAGTAAATTGTCTTACTCTTGGTTGCCGGGTGGGGTTTTGTACTCTGTTCAATATAAATATTCATAAATTGTTACTTGTTAGTGTAGTACTTCTCATACAACATTATTAAATTGTAGGCGCAAATTGCAAATATATAAATATGATAGTTGTGTTCCTTGAAATTGATGGCGTCTATTCACATGTTCCATATGAAACCTGACCTAGTTTACAAAATGACGCTGCTCGCAGAATCTGTGCTGGTTGCCATGCGGAGATTGGTCATGGGCGATACCTTAGTTGCATGGGTTCTGTTTGGCATCCAGAATGTTTCCGCTGTCATGCTTGCAACCAGCCAATTAACGATTACGAGGTGTATATGTCATCTAATTTACCTATTTTTAGATTGAAATTTTAAAACATAGATTTCTATTCAGTATCCTACTTTGTACCGTACTTGGTATACAGTCGTGTATGTTGTATATGGCCTAATCTTGAAGTTTATTTTCTGGTGACAGTTTTCAGTCTCAGGGAATCGCCCTTTTCATAAAACCTGCTATAAAGAGCAGCAGCATCCAAAATGTGATGTTTGCAGGAAATTTGTAAGTGCTAAACCCATCTCATGATCTTATCAACCTTATTTATTTTGCATAAGTAGGTTTTCTTATCTGATCTCTTTGTCTGGTATCAGTGTCTAGCTGACTAGCTCTGCATCTAATTCTAATTGGTAACTAGACGATTTGTTTAGTTGATTAGGTTTTTTTCGTCAAATATTGTGATTAATATATTGAATAAGTTGATGAGGTAGATCAACAGGAATGCCGGGTTTCTTTCGCCCAATTCAAGTCTAATTCCAGCATATGCTAACTATTCTGAAGTGGCATTTTTAAATAGAGAAAATAACTTCAGTGACCGAAAATGCCTTATAATATACGATTTTAACAAACTTTTTTTTGGATTTGCCAAAATGACCAACAAAATCGCAACGCGAACTCTAATTTTTCAACTTAGTTTCCAAATTCGCAACGCGAATTTCCAGATTCGCAATGCGATTTTGAAAAATGTGTTGCGATAGTTAAAATGTGTTGCGAGAGTTTGAAAAACGTGTTGTTGCGATAGTGAAAAAGTGTTGCGATAGTGAAAAATCCAAAATAAGTTTACATTTTAACTATTCTAAATTCACGTGGAGTTTGAAACAATAAAGAATGTGTTGCGATAGTATAAAAGATTTCCAAGCCATTTGTAAGATCTTAGTTTGAAACAATAAAGAATGTGTTGCGATAGTGTAAAAGATTCTCAACTGTTGGCAATGTTCAATCCCACATAGTATTAGAAACACTATTGGGAATAAGTATTTAAGGCTTGGATTTCCCACTTCCTTGTTGAGTGGAAGAGAACAAGGGGGACTCTCGCGCATCGCCGTTGCCGCCGTCTCGTTGTGGTCGTTGTCGTGGTCGTGGTAATACGTGTCTTCGACACGTCCGCGCGGATACTATATTTTTAGAGAAAATTTTTTAAGAAACAAATGCAATACCACTAGTCGTTGCGATTTTGGAAAATCGTAACGAATTTGGAAAATTGCAATGCGAACTTCGACTATCGCAACGTGAACTTGGATTATCGCAACGAATTTGGAAAATCGCAACGCGAACTTCGACTACTGCAACGAGTTTGGAAAATCGCAACGCGAACTTCGACTATCGCAACGTGAACTTGGACTATCGCAACGAATTTTGAAAATCGCAACGCGAACTTCGATTATCGCAACGCGAACTTGGACTATCGCAAAATCGCGTTGCGAATTTGGAAACTGAGTTGAAAAATTATAGTTCGCGTTGCGATTTTGTTGATCATTTTGGCAAATCCAAAAAAAGTTGGTTAAAATCGTATATTATAAGGCGTTTTCGGTCACTGAGGTTATTTTGTCTTTTAAATATGCCTATCAACTTATCACAGGCTTCTGAATCTGCAGGAACTTCTGATCAGCTGTTCTTAAAATGTATTGTCGATTGCTGCATGGCCAGCTGCTCGATGACTAATCCACTATTCATGTGTTATTCTTGGAATTTGAAGATACAAGATATTTCGGAGGCCGTTTTATTTTTTGAAGTTTAGGACATTGTGCTATCTAGTTGAAGCATTAACATGTTGAACATTGAGTTATTTCCCCCATGGTAATCTGACCTCATTTCTTTTGACAGATACCAACGAATACAGCTGGTCTCATTGAGTACAGGGCACATCCCTACTGGATGCAAAAGTACTGTCCTTCACATGAGCGTGATGGTACTCCGCGCTGTTGTAGTTGTGAAAGAATGGAGGTGAGTCGAAAGAATGCTCCCTTTTTCTTTTAGAAATGGAACGTAGAGAAGGGAATGAAAATCTTTAGTAGTTGTGCAAAAAGTATATCTTTAATAAACCCTTGTGATTGCAGACAGCTGATACAAAATATTTATCACTTGATGATGGTCGCAAGCTGTGCCTAGAGTGCCTAGATTCCGCAATTATGGACACTCATGAATGCCAGCCTCTTTACCTTGAAATCCAAGAATTTTATGAAGGATTAAATATGAAAGTGGAACAACAGGTTCCTCTACTTCTTGTTGAGAGGCAAGCTCTAAATGAGGCCATGGAGGGAGAAAAGAATGTAAGGCTTAAGCATTGGAAGTTTTATCTATAAGAGGAAATTACCTTAGGCTTGTTTACATAACATCTTAATTGTGGTCAGGGCCATCATCACCTACCAGAAACTAGAGGACTCTGCTTGTCCGAAGAACAGACAGTTACCACTGTACGGATTTCCTCTCGGGTTCTTCTTAACTCCAGTAGTTCAGTTTTATCGAGACGCCTTCATGTTTAACTAGATTTGCATGTTTGTTTGATTCAACTTACCAGGTCTTGAGGAGGCCAAGGATTGGGGCAGGCTATCGGTTTATTGACATGATTACTGAGCCTCACAGGCTAATTCGTCGATGTGAAGTTACAGCTATTCTCATTTTGTATGGTCTTCCTAGGTATTATTTCATGTTTCCTTTCATGCTGCATTTCTGTTACTGTTACCTTTGATATAATTGGCGGAAAAACGGAAAAACTTTTTTTATATACAGGCTGCTGACAGGATCTATCCTGGCTCATGAGATGATGCATGCTTGGCTTAGGCTTAAAGGTGTTTATCTGTTCTACGAGTCTGATCAATGATTGCAATTCTTTAAATGTTATGGTATGAACTATTAACTGAGCGGGAGTTTCGACAGGTTATCCGAATCTGAGTCCAGAAGTTGAGGAAGGAATATGTCAGGTTTTGGCACATATGTGGTTGGACTCGGAGATCTATGCTGCTTCGGGAAGTGATGCAGCTTCATCTTCATCCTCTTCATCTTCGTCCTCTTCGCCATCATCATCATCATCATCTTCCACATCATCAAAGAAAGGCAAGCGCTCTGATTTTGAGAAGAAACTTGGTGGCTTTTTTAAGCACCAGATTGAATCGGATTCATCCAAGGCTTATGGAGAGGGATTCAGGCAAGGTAATCAAGCAGTGAACAAGTACGGCCTTAAAAGAACACTCGATCATATTCGGATGACAGGAAGCTTCCCTTTCTAATTCACGAAACCAGACAATAACCGGTCTTTCTCTTTTACCCCATTGGAGAACCGGATTCCTGTCTATTAAAATATTATACACTAAAAAGAAAAAAAGTACATAACTAATACATGATAGAACTGAATAAGCAAAAGTGAAAAATGTTCATTTGCGACTGTTGTAATTTTCTCCTCACATAGTATGTAGCTAGTTATTACACTGTATTTGAATTCTATTAAACTATAAGAAATAGAATAATACAAATACATGTAATATATATATATATATTACCAAGTACGCATCTTCTTCTTTTTTACTTTTCTTTTCCTAAACAACATTTATATTTTCTGGGCTTTTCCAGCCATTTCTTAGCAGCTCTGAAGAATGTGTAAAGAATTTTGACACAGAGAAAAACAAACAAACAACCCAGACTCCTGCCATTGCCTTTTGGAAGATTAAGCTCTAGGCGCGTCTTTGGAAGATTAAGCAAAGCTCTGACTTTTGGGTTTTGAGCATTTTCCTGGCCCATAATAATTTAAAGAAGGCCGTATTGAAGCTCGACCCGGCTATTGAATACACGTTTTAAAACGACTCCTTGGAACTTCAACGACTCCTTGGAACGTTTTTGCGATGATTTTGTTAAAAGTCTCTCATGCAGACCAAGTGTTTGTATTTTTGTCGTAGCGGAAAAGCTGTGATCCAAAGCTAGCTAGTTGATTATTTCCCAATTTTTTTTTGATTAAATGGCAATGCATTTTAAAATATTATCTTCTTGTAAAAACTTGTTTAGCCTTCTAAACCAACAAGTTCGCTCCTTTGCACGCGAGCCATTCGCCAATAAACTCACACATTACCTTCAACGAGCCAAACTCATTGACTCAATCCGACTCGCTCTCCGTTCCAACTCTCCAAACTCACTCAACCCTCTTCTCCAAACTCGCCTCCTTGACTCCTTCGTTGTTGCTAACGCTTTTCGTTCTGCTCCTTCATCGGACTCTGCTGTTTCTTTCTTTGAAATTCTCAAGCAAGTTCCAAACTTTGAGCATTCCCAGATTACCGTTTTTGCTTTTGCAACTGTTCTTGCAAAGTTCAAGCGAAAGGAGGAACTCAAGGCCCTGATTGGTGACGTTAAAGATGGAAAACTTAACAATGTTAAAGTCAGTTTTATGAACCTTTTGTTTTGGTATTCTACTGCTGGGGATCTTCAAGAAGTTTTGAAAACATGGGAAGAGTATACGAGTGAGGAAAATCGTCTATCAGCTGAGGCTCATAACATTGTAATAGGGCTTTATGCTCAAAAGGGTATGAATTTTGAGGCTGTGAAGGCTTTCCGGTGTATGATTGATCAAGGGGTGATTCCAAATTCCAGGACTTATACGATTTTGATAGAGCAACTTGTAAGGTTAGGGAAGTTGGATGCCGCTATGGAAGTGTTTACCTTATTGCCTTCAATGAGAATCAAGAGGACTTTGAAACAGTTTCTGATTTTGGTTGAAGGGCTTGTTGGTGGAGAACGGTTTGATGTGGTGGAAAGTTTGCTTAAAGAAATGAGGGAAGATGGGAAGCTTCCTGGACGAGCAATGCGTGTGTATTTGGAACGAATGAAGGAGGCAGGGTTTGCTGGCGAGGCCGATGAGTTTCTTGTAGAAATGTTGCCTGATGGAAGGATCAAGAGTGTCAGTTCTTGTGAGAATGGTAATGATGAATATGAAGATGACGATGAGGATGACGATGAGGATGATAATGTGAATGGAGTTGACATTCATATGGTAAAATTGAAACCATGGTTGGATCCAAAAGCTTTGGCAAATGCCTTAAAACAATGGAATCCTGAAGTAGTAACTATATTAGAGGATGCTAAATTTGTGTGGACAAGTAGGTTGGTTTGCAAAGTTCTTAGGAATTTCATTTCAACCGAGACAGCTTGGAATTTCTTCTGTTGGGTAGCTTCTCAGCCAGGATTCACTCATGACATTTACACAGTGCAAAGAATGATGACTCTACTGGCGCGCCATGGAAATGTTGAATTAGTAGATAAACTTATAAATAAAGTAAGGAGGGAGCAAATGAGATTGCCTTTCAGCACCATCAGGTTGCTAATTGAATTCTATGGCATTTCAAAGAATGCTGATGCCGCCTTGAAGGTCTTCCGTGATGATAGATCGCTTTGTGGTCACATATCAAGGTTCAATTTAATGCTTTTGTATTCTTCTCTCTTGAGGGCATTAACAAAGTCTCGTAGGAATTCAGATGCCCTGGAAGTACTTCATGAGATGATTTTAAGTGGTGTTTGCCCAGATATCCAAACATTTTCTGGGTTGATATATCACTTTGCATTACAAGGAGATATCAAAACTGTTCAGCAACTCATTTCGATGGTTAGACAGAATGGCATGGAACCAGATATATGTACAAGTTGTTAATCCAAGCTTATTGCAAGTGTCAGAGAGCTGCACTTGCATATAAGGTTTTTGAAGACATGAGAAATTCAAGTTTAATGCCTGATGCTGCCACAAAACTTGCTTGTGAAGAGTCTTTGGCAAGAAGGCAAGCGAAAAGAGGCTGTTAATGTAGAAGAGAGGTATGAGGAGGCTGATGCAGCCCTTCCACTGGCATTACGCGGTCATGTCTGGACAGTTAGCTCTGAAGATCTCACCAGAGTTTATAATATTTATTTATAGTGTTACAGCCTCTGCATAGAGTTGTTTGTCTTCTTCAAAGCAAAGAATTTAGCAACATGGTCACAACTGTTTTAATTTAGACTATTGTGGCAACCCTTTTTCCCTTTCCCTGCAGTCTTTCAGAAAACTACATTTTTATCTTTTTTATAACTGGATTGCAATTTGCAAATGTCAACTTTTTGAATCAAATTCTGAAATGAAATTTGATAGATAAGACTGGCTCAGCAAATAAGGCCAGCAAACATTTCTCAGGATTGATCTAATGCACAAATTTGCTTGGTTTTTGGGTTCGAATGTGCTTGCCCTATGTTTTATTTATGTTAATGAAAAAAGGAACAGGAACATTGTATATTAACACAATTAACAGAAGAATTATGATTGTTACATTTCAAATGCCCATTACTGAACATATTCATATGTCTTTATCTTATGCTTTTAACGCCAGTCTGATGGAAATGGTTCTTCCAATCGATGTGCATCCAGTTGAATCCTCAACAGATATGAAACTACTTCAGCCATGCTCAGTCTGCTTTCTGGTTCTTCTGCCAAAGCAGTCAATGCTCAGTTTCAACATCTGGCGTGCTAGTTCCATCCAGAGGTGTCCTTTGAGATTAGAATCGGTTAAGAGATCAAGTTCAGCTTGTGCATTTCTCCTTCCATGATTGTTAATATTGCTTCTGATAATAGTACTTCCTTTCCGTCCTGCATAAAAACAGTTTCCTTTCCTGTAATCAGTTCCAGCAGAACAACCCCAAAGGCATATAAATCCATCTCAGGTGTCACCAAGCCATACTCAACATATTCAGGTGCCTTGTAACCCTTTGTTCCCAGAGAACTCCACATCGATGATTTTCTGCTATCTTCTCTTTCAGCTGATCGTGCAAGGCTGAAGTTAGCAATCTTTGCCCTCAAATCTCGATCGAGCAGCACATTATCACTGCAAATATCTTTATGCACATATGTGGGGTGGTGAAGTTGTGAAGGTAATGAAGCCCATTAGCAACATCTAAAGCATCTGAATCCTATAATGCCATATTGAAATTTCTGGCAACTCTTGTTTCGAAGCCATTCTCCATGAACTCATAAACAAGGTAGAAAACACCATAGTGCTCACAAACCTGCGAAGGCTTATTAGATTGAAATGATTAATCTTCTGCAGCAAACGTACCTCCTTATCTACAGCTTTGCTCATTTGTTTTATAGCCAGCAATTCTCCCTTCAAGAACACCTCGATAAACAGAAGCACCCATCTTGTATTTGTTGCTGGAATTTTCAGTGGCTGCCTCTACATCCTTGAAGTCATAAAGTTTCAATCTTTGATCTTTGCTAACCAGAACATTATTTGGTAACTCGCATTTCTTTCTCTAATCTTTTGCAGCAGCCTCCCTTGTTTTCGTCTTATGATATAAAAACACCAACATCAGCAGAAGGAAAATGGCAAGCAAAGGAACTCCGATTGTGATCCAAACATTGAATCTTTTCTTTGGTTTGATCACACCTATAGGGGTGACGGGTGAAGAAGAGGGTCGCCGTTGAGAGCGAATTATAGTTTGAGTTATTGAAGGTTGGGTTGACAATGGAATAAGAATTGTTGTAAAGGGAAAAATAATTGCTTCACCTAAATCAATTCCATTTGCATCACCAACGCTTTCCATGCTAGCGTTGAATCTATTACTGATATTTTAGATGTTTTCCCCCAATCAACCACATAAGTCATTAGATATTTAGTATCATAAAAGTTTTATTTCTTGGGGACAAGCACATCTAAGTGGTACTTGTAAAACTGAACCAGGTTGCAAGCTTGAATCACTATTCTCCTTTTCAAGCGACTTGCAGGTCGACAACCCTTGATAGGTTTCGTTTGCAATTGAAAAATAATCAAGATGCATACTCGGCATGATGTAAGAGGTGTTGGCCTGATAGTACTGACCGAGCAAGAACAATTCGCAGGGACAATCACCTCTTTGTTTGCAGGGAAGATTGTAGAAAGTGAAATATTGTTGATGTGAGCAAGCTCCAATGGATCTGCAGATGTAAGATTTGAGATGGTTGAGATCTAGTCATACGGAGGATAAGCTTTGAAGATCAGAAAGGTCTGAGAGTATGGCTTTCCACCATTGCAAGTGTAAAGAACGGCTGAAGATGGGCCAGTTTCATCATTTCATCACACTTCAGTATCAAGTTTCTCGAATAACTTTGTTGAGCATGGAACTTGGCATGAAAAAACATAACAACACGAAGAAACAAGCTGAAACTGATCCATTACAGGAAGATGGGGGGAAAACTGAAGGTGTTTCAGATAGATTTGAGAAACATTCACATTGGTTGCAAATATGGAAGAAAATGTTTTGTTGACTTAAATGTGCTGCTCACTGGAGTTTTCCTGGAAAACCATTAGCTGGGGAACTAAAATTATTTAAAAGTTGTTGTTTGGATTTGAATAGGGGAAAATTTTAGCATAAACATTGGACTTGGCCAACTCTGACTAGATTGAAAATGATACAAAAGGTTAAGAAAACGAAAGGAGGAATCATCAAACAGCGTTGAATTTTTCCTTTTGTGAAAGCAAGGTTAACAAAACTGAAGCACGATTGTTGCATTGAGTACAGGAATCATTAAAATGATAGAATAAAATAGGATAAAAAAAGGAGAATAATTGAATATGTCCATGTCTAACTGTGACAAGCTGATCAAGCAGCCAAGATGGAAGCTAAAAGGAAATTATTATCAAACGTATATCTTTATAGGTTAAACTGAACAATATTTTAGATTATAATCCATCACTAATTAGCCTTAAATTAGATTATCCTACAGTACAACAACACAAAATATATGGAAGTCAAAGATATCGAGTTTTGGTTCTAGTGCTCGCTCCGATGCTTAAATTCATATAGGATCTTTTGTTTATTATTCAGACTGTTTGATCAGCGTAGCTACATATAGCTGATATGAAATCCTATCATGTGTTTGTTTATGTATTTATATTAAAAAACCGAGATTTCATGAGAACCAATCAAAATGATAAGTGTATTCCAGCCTGCTTGTCTTTTTATGAGATATTTTAAAAAATTAAACTGGTCTGTTGATGCATTTGTCATGTAGTTCCTTGGAGTTCAAGGCAAAATCTAAAACAAGAGAATATATATTGAAAGTAAGAATGTATGGAGCAACTGCTTATTGTCTGAGAAAAACAATAAAAGTGTAGCATATTTGATGTTTTAGATTCGAGATTGAAGAACATGTATCTGGAAAATGGATGGAAAAGGTCTGCCAGTTCAGCCATTGCAGATGTGAATTAACTCACCATGCTACAGCTACACTACAGCAAATCTGAGTTTTAGCCTTTCTTTTTAGTCCTATAGCGACATTTTTAAGCGACGCTAAAATCACTTACGGCGATAGGAAAAATGCCGCAAGAAGCGCTGGCTATACCTACGCTACTAAGTTAGCGGCGTTTGAGATCAAAAAACGCCGCAATAGGTCAAAATCTATAGCGGTCTTTTTTGAACACATGCCGCAAAAGGTCGATATCTATAGTGACATTTGATCATTGAAATAAAAAAAATCATTTGATCATGATCGTTAACAAAAAAAAATTGAGCACGAGATCGTTAAACCATTAACGAGAGCTGACGTGGCTCGTTAAAATTCTTAAAAAAAACTAGTAGTCATTGTTTCTTCTTTCTATCGTTATTTAATGATTTCTCTGATAAAAAAAATCATCAAACTACTCTTACTCGTATCTTTATTTACATTGGTTCAAACTCTAAAAAACCTTCTAAACTCCTCAAATCTCAATCGGAATTAAAAACTAAAACTTTATGATCAATCACTATCAATCGTCGTATGAAAATTGAAATTGAATTATGTTAATCTACTGGTCAAACATAGTCTTCCCACTATTAAAATCGACCAATTACAACTCCATTCATAAAAAAGCATGATCTTTACGACGTCTCTCAATTTATAATCTTAAAATATTTTTAGGGCAAGAAAAATATTTTAACATATATTAACTTTTATTAACGATAATTATGAACAGTGATAATAATGATACATTCATTATTCATATAACAAGTTTGGTTACTTGCTAATGATAAATAGGCGAACCAATTAAATATCATTTTATGTTCAAATAAAGATTGGAACTAGAAAATTCATTTCCACTATCGACCCACCAAGAATATGCACATGCACAATGAGCATTTAAAACGCGCCGCTGGAAATAGCAAAAGACATTAATGCTTTGCTTGCTATCACTCTCTTCTTAAAGACAACAAAAACGCACGATTTCCATCAGCCAAAATTGTCGGCACTTTCCCTTCGTGTTTATTCATAACCAAACCCCAAACACCCCCAACGTTATCGGTTGATGTCCTTACTTTGTATATAAAAACAAACCAACATCAGAAAGTGGACAAAATCACCAAATAATAAAAAAAATGTCTAAACAAATATTTTATTTTCTTAAATAGGATGACTTTTACAATAGATTAAGAAAGACGTATTAACTACCGAAAGTCTTCATGAAAACACAATTCCCAACTTCCGGCGCAAAAATGATAATACCGTTGTTGGTGTCCTTGAGTTGGTCGAAGGTAAATTTACATGGGTCGTTGTTGGAGCAGAAAATATGAAAGCTAGTAAATACTATTGATAGAAGTTGGAAAGACGAAGAAGACAAGCATAAAAGCTAATGCGGGAAGACGTCGTATCTTCCGTGCGTCTCCCGAAAAAACATCGTGTTTTGCATACGTATTTCTTGTTGCGGAAGACGGCTATCGGATAGAGCAAAATCGTAACTGATAATTTGAGAAAATAAAAATGAAGATAAAAGAGACAAAATTTACGTGGAAAACCCCTAAAAATTTAGGGTAAAAACCACGGGCAACGGTAGAAGAATTTCACTACGAGAAAAATAGGAATTACAACCTCTCTCGATCTACCAAGGAGAAAACAATGATAATTCTCTCTTGATAAAAAGGAGAAAACAACTTTCAAGAAACTCTATAAATTCTCTCTAGTATTGGAAGAAAGCTAGAATGCTTTGGGATGGTTTTGAAGCTAAATGAGCTAGGGTATTTATAGTTGAAGCTTTAAGGACTCATTTGTAAATACCTTAAATTACAATGACTAATTTCATAGTTTTACCATCCAAAATTTTCAACAATTTGG